TCAAAATACATAATAAATAGCACATTTTATCTCTGAAGCAGACGACTTCTCAAAAATTGTAGACCAGTGTAATTGGGTATTTCTGTGATGATCTTCATCAGATAGTAGACAGCCATAAAACGGAATAACCTGGAACTTAGCCACTTCTTAAGACCAAGACATTTGCGGCGGCACCTCTTTCCAGCAAATACTGGGCTCCAATATGTCCATGTGCCTTCTGCCCTCTAACCTGATTCTCTGTCTTCAGTGCAACACTCCTACCTTATCCATTTTCAAAATCAACAGAGGAAAGCATGTTTTGATTCAATTGGACATGAGGGATCATAGCACATATACGTGGACAGGCAGATAGAAGAAATTAGTCTAAATCCCAAAGTAATGCAGTATTTTCCTGGGCAGAAGATCACCTAGCCTCCATCAGGTTGATCCATATAAAAGGGGCATAACTATCAGCAGATAGATCACAGATCTCCTACCTATGGGCCCATTCCTGTATCCTGTACAGACTACCTGCACCTAATATTTTGGCTGTTGAAAAGAAAACTCAGTGAGATGGAGTACACTTCCAAAATAGTGTAGAGTTTGTATCCAGGCCCCTCCAATTCTCTAAGCCTATTCAAGAGTATGGACAACATTTTCCTATTGGTATCAAGATAGTAAGATTAATCCCAGAAAACTAGGTTTCCAAATTCTTACATTTCTTACAGGCTGACATAGACCTGAGGCTATCATCGCTATATCTCATGCTAACTTCAAATGGTATTATAAATGCAGAATCATCTAGGTCTCTAGCCACAGTGCTGCAAGCTATTACAATCCATTCTTGAACAGATAGCATCCAATTCCGTGTGTTCCTTTTCCATAAAGATGTGCTTCCTGGTTGCAATCTTAGCTGCCAAAAGAGTCTCAAATCTTTGCTCTTGGATATGGGCCTTACTACATCTTCCATAAGGACAAGGTTATCCTTTGTGCTGCAGAGTTATTCATTACCACAATTAATTCTTCCTTTTGTACTGCACAAAGTTATTCTCCCTCTTGTTTTGTCCAAAGCTTCCGAACTCAAAAGAGAGCATGACAACTGCTAGATGTGGGGAGAGTGGTGAATTACATACCTTTGAATAGTGGTTCTCAACCAGGGGTAAGTGTACCCCTGGGGATATCCATATGTCTTCCAGGGGTTACATCAGCTCGTCTAGATATTTGCCTAGATTTACAACAGGCTACATAAAAAGCACTAACAAAGTCAATACAAACTAAAATTACAGACATTGCTTGTTTTATACTGCTTTATATACTATATGCTGAAATGTAAGAACAGTATTTATATTCCAGTTGTTTTATTTTATAATTATGGTAAAAATAACAAAGTCAGCAATTTTTCAGTAATAGTGTGCTGAGGCACTTTCATATTTTTGTCTGATTAAAAGCAAGTAGTTTTTAAGTGAGGTGAAACCTGGGATACACAAAACAAATCAGCCTCTGAAAGGAGTGCAGTCGTCTGGAAAGATTGAGAACCACTGCCTTAGAAGAACTGACCAGATCAGGAAAAGAGAATCTTTATTCATTTCCTTTCACACTAAATGATTCTGTTTGAAAACATCCAAATCTTCCCTACTTAGGTTTATCAAGTGCTAGATCTTATTCAGATATAACCAGTTCCAGAAGGTCCCAGAATGCATTAATGCAATTAATTTTATGGAAAGGGAATGTTTTGCATCGTTTTGTTTTTTCCCTAACTAATTTCCCCTTACTTCTTTCCAAGTGTCTCAGAGAGAGGTCAGGATCCAGAATGGAAATTTTATCTGATTTTCTCTTGTATAAGGTTCTTAGATGGCCACCAAGATCACAGTATCTGAGCACCTCACAATCTTTAATGTATTTATCCTCCGAACACCCCTGTGATGGACAGTGCTGTTGTCGACATTGTACAGATGGGGCACAGACAGACTAAGTGATTTTCCCAGAGTTGCACAGGGTATCTGTGGCAGAGCGGAAAATTCAACTCTCCTATGGCCTAAGCTAGTACTGGACCATACTTTCCTCTCACATTTTGGGACTCACCTTTTCCCCCAGTCTGCCCTAACTGAGATACATTCTTTGGATATCTATATGATTCTCCAATGTCTGTGTATGTACTTAATACATTAATTTTACATTAATGTTAATAAGTTTATATTTAATCTAGCACTTCATATTCAAATTTTCCATTCCAGAAAAAATGCACACAAGAAAAAAATCTCAAAGCTGACTGCATTGTATGTCTGTGAACACAAATTTTATCCTTTCTGCTGTCTTCTCTTGTCCTTCTTCTTTCCCCCTCCAGTTGCTGATTAACTTTCACAGTTTAATGAATTTACACAAGAATGAATGAATTTAAACCTAATTTCCAGGAAAGCAACAATTGTGTAAAATACAATACACACATGTATATTACAATTTTCAGTTGATATTTTCACATTAAAATAATTTGGGGAGGTTTCTGCCATGTCTATTTTTAAAATACTGGATTTATAAATTTTTCCACTAACTTAGGATGACCGACAGGTAAATGAACCGTTCCGGAAAAGCTTGTTACTTCACTGAGACTCTTTAAAGCTTATCAGCCCTTTGAGTCACTAGGAAGTCTCAATATGACTGAAGTTGACTTTGTTGTAGTGTTAACAGAACAAATCTCCTTGCTCTCTTTTGGAAGTTTTTATGATGGTATCATTGTCAACTTCTCTTCTGTGGAATACCAATTTAAGGCCTTGGCTACACTTACCCGCTAGTTCGGCGGCTGGCAATCGAACTTCTGGGTTCGACTTATCGCGGCCCGACTAGACGCGATAAGTCGAACCCAGAAGGTCGATTGCCCGCCCCCGAAACAGCCGGGAAGGGGTGCCC